GACGGAGAAAAGCTAAGCGCAACTGACCTCGAATTGCTGTTTCATGTCCATTGTGTTGTGGTTGCTGGTGAATTTCCGTCGCGGTATTTGCCCCGCTGTTATGGAAAGAGCCGGAATGCGGCCAGAAGGGTCTGCACGTGCTCTACATTTGTCCAGAAGGCAAACTGCCCGCATGTATGGTATGTGGCAGCTTTGCAGGGGGATATCAACTTGGATACAATCTCCGCCCGGGCAAAGCCGGGCCGAAAGCGGAAGTCCAGCGGCCGCACGCCGGACCCAAAGCGGCCGCGCGAAGTAGGGCGATAAATGGAAGTTCGAGTTGGATGTATTCTAGGTTTGTCTTCTCGACTGTCGGCTGCTCTCGGTTTGAAAACCCCAGCAGGCCAAGGTAGAGCCTTTCCCCAAAACACGTCAACAGAGAAGCTTATACAGGGCGAAAAGGATGCGCCCCAAACCATGTCATCAAAAGAACCTTGGGAGACACGGCCCCCAAATGTACGGGGTCCCTTTGTGACCTTGGCACCGCAAAACAGGTCAAAAAAGAACCTTGGGAGGCACTGCCCCCCAATCTACCAGGTCCATTTGAAACCCTGAGGTAGACTTGTCGAAGCACCGCCCGAAACAGGTCAAAAAAGAACCTTGCGCCCCAAACCATGCCAATAAAGAACCTTCGGAGTCACGGCCCCCAAATGTACCAGGTCCGTTTGAAACTTTGGCACCTCAAAACAGGTCAAAAAAGAACCTTGGGAGGCACGGCCCCCAAATCTAACAGGTCCGTTTGAAACCCTGAGGCAAACGTGTCGAAACAAAACCCAAAACAGGGCAAAAAAAAACCAAGCCCTTCGGTTTTTGAATTTGTTCTCAGAGATGGTCAAGAAATGAAGCCCACAATTGGATTGATCTTGACTTGACTCATACTTGAAGCTTCTTGACCTTGGTGGTTTCTATATGTTTCTATACTACACGCGCCAAAAACTACAAGAGCACATGTCTGAGTCTATGCCCAGTTCGGGGTTCTGCACCTTTCCCTGAAGCCATTGCTTTCCACGTCTACCATTTTCATCCCGGAAGGGAACCGATTCGTGTCTTTTTTCCCGAATGCGTAGCGAAGGGTTCTCGTTTAACTCTTGGGGGTCTGGGGGTAGAGCCTTGTTCGCGACCCGTTGCTTCTATGTTCGCAACCGTCCGCAACCGTTCGCAACCGTCCGCAACCGTTCGCAGTAGGTCGCTAAGGCGCTGCCATTGGGGGAAGCTTTTGCAAGTGACTTTTCATGGATGTGTCACGTGTCAGTTTGCGCCGCTATTCCATTGTGATTTGCATGAAAAAGACATGGCGCGCAAGCAACGTGATGCGTTTCGCTGCACAGGCGCAGCGTTTGGTGAGATCTGCAGATTGCTGCGCAGTTCCATTGGGATTAGCGTTTGGAGAGTCGTGTTTTTGGGGTGTTGGATGTGGCCGTGCCATTGGGATTTGCGTTTCAGGGTGTCGCATCGAAGCTCTGTTTTCGTGACAAGTCTCAGCTGAAATGCCGATTTTGGCGGAGGGGAGTGTGCTCAGAACGGGTCGAAATCATTCCAAACGTGTGGTGTGGTGCAAATTTTGTTGAAGCTCACATGAGATGACATTGTTACTTTTCGTGGCAGGCGCAGGACTTTGTGCAGGTTTTGAGGTGTGGAAGTGGGATTTTCGTGGCAGGCGCAGGGAATCGTGAGGTTGCGATGTGTGACGGAGGTGACATTTCGTGGCAGGCGCAGTACTTTGTGCGCGTTAGACGTGTGGACGCGGAAAGATTCGTGGCAGGCGCAGGGAATCGGGAGGTTGTGAGTTGTGGTAGAGGTGAATGTCGCTGTCACATTGGGATTGGCGTGTGAGCGGGTGTCGTTTGGAGGGGCTGGAATCGCGAAATTGCTTGGCAGCGCTGCGTGATGTGTGTGCTCTGATGGGTGTTTCCGCTGGACTTTTGGAGGAAGTCTCGTGCGAAACGCTCGTTTTTGAGACTTGACGCGTGACTTTTGGAGGAAGTCTCGTACGAAACGCTCGTCTTGCAGCCTCGCAGCGTGACTTTTGGAGGAAGTCTCGTACGAAACGCTCGTTTGGGAGGCTTGACGTGTGACTTTTGGAGGAAGTCTCGTACGAAACGCTCGTTTTTGAGACTTGACGCGTGACTTTTGGAGGAAGTCTCGTACGAAACGCTCGTCTTGCAGCCTCGCAGCGTGACTTTTGGAGGAGGAGTGTCCCACAAGAGTGTCCTACAAGAGTGTCCCACAAGAGTGTCCTACAAGAGTATCCCACAAGAGTGTCCCACAAGAGTGTCCCGTATGAGTGTCTCCCACATGTCCCACAACAGTGTCCTACAAGAGTGTCCCACAAGAGTGTTCCGTATGAGTGTCCCACAAGAGTGTCCTACAAGAGTGTCCCACAAGTGTGTCCCACAAGAGTGTCCGGCAAGAGTGTCCCATAAGAGTGACCCACCAGAGTGTCCTACAAGAGTGTGCAACAAGAGTGTCCCGTAAGAGTGTCCCACAAGAGTGTCCTACAAGAGTGTCCCACAAGAGTGTCCTACAAGAGTGTCCCGTAAGAGTGTCTCACAAGAGTGTCCCACAAGAGTGTCCCGCAACCATGTCCCACAAGAGTTAAGAGTGTCCATATAAGAGTGTCCCACAAGAGTGCCCTACAAGAGTGTCCCACAAGAGTGTCCTACAAGAGTGTCCCACAAGAGTGTCCTACAAGAGTATCCCACAAGGGTTTCCTACAAGAGTGTCCTATAAGAGTGTCCCACAAGAGTGTAGAGTGTCCCACAAGAGTGTCCCGCAAGAGTGTCCCAAATGAGTGTCCCACAGGAGTGTCCCACAAGAGTGTCCCGCAACAGTGTCCCGCAAGAGTGTCTCACAAGAGTGTCCCACAAGAGTGTCCCACAACAGTGTCCCACAAGAGTGTGTCCCACAAGAGTGTGTCCCACAAGAGTGTCCCACAAGAGTATCCCACAAGAGTGTCCTACAGGAGTGTCCCACAAGAGTGTCCCACAAGAGTTTCCTACAAGAGTGTCCCACAAGAGTGTCCCACAAGAGTGCCCTACAAGAGTGTCCCACAAGAGTGTCCTACAAGAGTGCCCCACAAGAGTTTCCGACAAGAGTGTCCCACAAGAGTGTCCCACAAGAGTGTCCCACAAGAGTGTCCCACAAGAGTGTCCTGCAAGAGTGTCCCACAAGAGTTGTCACAAGAGTGTCCCAAATGAGTGTCCCACAGGAGTGTCCCACAAGAGTGTCCCGCAACAGTGTCCCGCAAGAGTGTCTCACAAGAGTGTCCTTTAAGAGTGTCCCTCCCGCAACAGTGTCCCACAAGAGTGTCCTACAAGAGTGTCCCACAAGAGCTTCTTACAACAGTGTCCCACAAGAGTGCCCCACAAGAGTGTCCTACAAGAGTGTCCTACAGGAGTATCCCACAAGAGTGTCCTACAAGAGTGTCCCACAAGAGTTTCCTACTAGGGTGTCCCACAAGAGTGTGCCACAAGAGTGTCCCACAAGAGTGTCCCACAAGAGTGTCCCGTAAGAGTGTCCCACAAGAGTTTCCTACAAGAGTGACCCACAAGAGTGTCCCACAAGAGTGTCCTACAAGAGTGTCATTTGGACATATGTAGCTTTTTGAACGTGTTTGCATTCGGGTTCGTGGGCTCCATCTTGTTTCTATTTGTGGCCGAGACGAGCGGCTGGTGAACTGCGTAGGCTCCTCTGTATCTACGTTCATCGACCCCGTCAGGCTCTTCCTATTTCAAGAACCCGAGAACTGTCCAAAGTGTCACTCTCCGAAGCGCATTTCGCGACGACGAAAATGCAACTCTATAGGATCCCACGTTCATTTTGTCCCCAAGGACGGGTGTCTGATCGGAGGTGCTCATCGAAGCGTCCGGCTAATTCGCTGCCATTTATTCATTCACCTCGAGATCTTCGAAGTGCATTTCAACTGCTCAGGCTCACAGAAGCTGGTGGGCCGCGGCGGCTGCTCTTCGAGATTGCGCTCTTGTTGTGGCGCCGTGCGCATTTTGGGACTTGGTGATCAGTTTACGTGGCAGGCGCAAGGGAAACCTCGTCTTTTCATGACAGGCGCAGGAGATCGTACTGTAGTGGCTTCAGTTCATGTCGATGTACAGATTTTATGGCAGGTGCAGTGACTCGTGACTTTTGCGCTCTCTTGCCCCTTGCTGTGCAGAGCTCGTGGCAGGCGCAGCGCTTTGTGGGCCTTGAAGTGCAGACAGATCTCGTGGCAGGGGCAGGACTTTAATATGAACCTTGACGTGCAGATTTCGGGGCAAGTGCAGCGCTTGGTGGAACTCGAGGTGCAGATTTCGTGACAGGTGCAGCACTTTGATGTAGAATTCGTGGCAGGCGCAGCGTTTCGTGGAACTTGAGGTGCAGAGTTTGTGGGAGGGACAGTGCTCGGCGGACCTTTAAGTGTAGATTTCGTGGCAGGCGCTGCTTTCCACCTCTGGACCTCTAGAACTCTGGATTTAGACCTTTTAAATCCTTTTAAACTGTCCAGATCTCTAGACCTTCTACTTCTGCGTGCTTAGCAGTTCGCTACCTTGTTGTTGGGATGGATGGGCAACTTGCTCAGTTTGCCCTGTTGTTGGCTTTCTATTTGACTGGCGCCCCGTCGCCTGCTGCTGAAGTTGCTCCGGTCCTTAAGTTGTTTCTTTTTTTCGCGTTTGTCCCTGCGTGCCACTGAGTTCACTTCTGACAGAACCTCATTTGTGGCCGTCGAGATCTGGCAAAAGTTCACGCAGGTATTTTGCCCGCTTGGCTTGACTTGCAGCTGCTGTTTGGCAGGTTCAGCAAGTGTACCTCCGTGAAAACAACTGACACTGGGTCACGTTTCTTGCAGCGAGGCGCTTGCAGTGTGAATTGCTATTTTTGCAGGGGCGCACCGTTCAGTGCTCAGGATGGAGCCACTTGGACACATGCGTGATTTTCCGTGACGTTCCGTGATTTTTTGTTTTTGGCAGGTGGATGTAAATCAAGGGCGGCAACTGGGCCTGCGTGGCATTGGGAAGTGATCAGGTTGCTTGGTTTAAGGTCAAGGCGCTATTTGTTGATGCGGACGACAGTGGTTATGGGTCTACACGTCTTTACAGAAGAAAAGAAAGAGAAAACAGTGAAGAGAAACCCCAGAGAAGAGAAGAGAAACCTAGAGAACGCAAGAAAAGAGAAGAGCAGAGAACAAGAGGAGAAGGGAAGGAAAGAGAGAAGAGAGAAGAGAGATGAGAGAAGAGAGAAGAGATGAGAGAAGAGGTGAGAGAAGAGAAGAGAGATGAGAGAAGAGAGAAGAGATGAGAGAAGAGAAGAGAGAAGAGAAGAGAGAGGAAAAGAGGAGAAGAGAAGAGAGAAGAGAGAAGAGAGGAGAAGAGGAGAAGAGGAGAAGAGGAGAAGAGGAGAAGAGAGGAGAA